TTTCTGCACCGCGATAGGAATGGCACTCTTCCACCGAAGAAGCCCAGCGAGCACTCAGTCTGGTGTACCGTTCGACCATCATTTGAGTACCACGCAAATAGGTGTTTTCTGGGGTGCCGAAAGTGCGTGTTGGCCACCACCAGCCGGTTAAGGTCAGCAAATGAGACTAGACGCTCGCCATTTTCGCAACGTTGACTGGGGCCGAACTTTTCCAGAACATGCCCAGTGTGTTCGTTTGACGAACCAGTGCGTGCATTTCAGTCTCCTGAGGTAACGAGAATGTTGCGTCTCGGACTGCGGTTCACTGCGTCTTGAACTTGGTTATAGAAGTCGTCCTTGATGGGCTTTTCCGCATATACAGCGATGGCAGTCAGGTTAAACGGCTTTCCCCTGAAGCGCGCTATGGTAATCCTGGGAGAAATTGGTTTTCAGGAGATCATGGCATTGTTGGCCCGGCCGCTCACGGCGATTTCTACCCCGTGCAAACCGGAGTTGTCAGTTGGGCCGCTTTGGTACAACTGGTAGGTTGCGTTGCTGTGCGGTACGTCGATTTGTTTTTTGTCAGTTAGGTAGTCGGACTTCGGACAGGCAACAGATGTCCACCTTGTAGTCGTGCAGTGAACGCATCGTGATACACTGGTTTCCTGTGTCTAGCAATGTTTTAACATTCCAGCAGGTTACATGGATGCTGGATCTGGTGCATAAATGATTCAGGTTCCCAACTTGCTCATTTGTCACCCCAGCCACTGGGAGAGCGCGCGGCGCGTCGCTTCCCGAAACACCGTAGCATGAACGTGATGTACCATTGTAAGACGATCCACGAAGAAACTTGGGAATGAGGTACTAAGTGACGTCCCCAGCGTCGTTCGGCTTTTATTCGAGGGTGCACCTCTAAATTGCACAACCAAGTGCGACCTGCAGGGTGACGGTAGAATTGTTGGTGACTCTGGCTCTGAGCCAGTCCAGGATCCCGAAGTGTCCGTGAGGTATGAGGTTCTGTAGCATTCCTCAGAGTTTGTCCTACTCGTAAGAGTAGGTAATGGTCTTATTTGGTGGCGGGCCACATTCGCACACGTCGTGATACTGACAGCAGACACTTATGACATTTGAAAGGGATAGCGGTTGCCAACCGGAAACCCCACCACGTCCTCTAGCATCGCCGCTGATCATCCGCGACCGATTATTCAATGAGGTAGCCCCACCTATTCACGGTTAACTACCAAGGTGGCCGTACTCCTATCCGCGATCGGGACACACGCTCGGTGGCACTCAGCTGTGCTATCCGTCGACAGTCCATTGATTACGGGCCTATAATCGCCAGGCATGGAGCTAGTTTATCCTCTTCAAGGAGCCGATCGCAGTAAAGTCAAGTAAATTTGAATATTCCTTCCTCGGATGCAGAGATATATTTTGTTGTCGACCAAGAATATCTGTGGATTTCGTCAATAGTCACGCATAATTGCCTGCAGTCATATTCAACTCCGAGAAATCGAAGCCGATCGGAGTCACCTATGCGCATATCCGTTAGGACTTGAACTGCAACATTTCGTTTGGTTTTATGTGACCAATGTTTCCTACTGGTCTAACTTGTTTGCTCAGAACTGATGAGATTTTCCCTGTTCGATCCACTAAGTTCTTTCATATCTCAGCTAAACTGCGTCCGTTCACTCGAATAATGGCTTCTGTTACCAACTTTCCCTATTTTTTAGATATCCATGTATAAAATGCTTGCTCCTGGGCGTCTGGTTATTAAAACCTCCCCGTTTAGACTGGGGCGGCTTTTGTCGAAAAAATCAAATTATGAGAACAGTAAAACAAAAAACGGTGGTCGAGATGAAGAAACAAAGTGAGTTTTATTTTATTTTGTTAATTCTCTAGGACTGAGGACGGGAACCGGAGGATTATTAAGGCTAGGTAAGACGTACACCTGATCCATTACCCTTTACTTAGTGACCTGCTGAAGGCTTTCTCAGGTGTCTACAAAGGGTAAACAATGCAGCCTTCAAGTTGTTCATCAAATGTATTCAGAATAACAGAGCCTGTACAAAATACCGCAGTGCCAGACACAAACCCTTCTAAGTCAAGCACGCCCCAAAAGGTAGTAAAAAACCGCTTGTCTGCTACCGAGGAAAGGTATGACTTGTTGACGAAATTCACACTTTAAAAACAGCACTACTCGAATCCCTGTATTACAATCAAAGTAAGTTTTAACATTTTTTCTTCACTCTGTCCTAGGGTACTGCTAAAACATATTACCGAGCGCATGTCTCGTTTACCCTCAGGACCGCGAAGAGGTATTTTCGTTTCTTATTCCATTATAATATTGTCATAGGTGCACTGTTTACGAGATTTTCGCAAAAGTAACCATTCTTTCTATGCTAATTCGATGATCGTTCAGGCTACCACCTCCCGAAGATTTGGATTTCCTCAGTTTCCAGTCTGATAAATCTTCCGGTTGGTTCTTCTGTATTCCTACAGATGATACTAGTTCTTGACAGGTGACTTAGGTACCGAACCGGGTCAGTCTAGAAATCCAGTTTTTGATGCTGTCGAGCATCTGGAATCTTCACTGCTGACGCTGACGGCACCACTAAATCAGTTTGAGGAGTGGATGCAGTGGACAGCGGAGGGTAAACTTTGGAAATTTCCCATCGATAATGAACAAGGTAATGCAATAAACAGCCATCGTTGTCTTGTCCCTTCTTGGTGTACATTCTGTGCAACAACTAAGACGTAATTAATGCTGGAATTCCACAGTGGTGTTTCCCACGATCATATTGACTCATCTCATGATCTGTTTCGACGGAGGTATCTTCTGAATCCAAAACACATGGGGAAATGCAAGCAACAAGAGGTCAAACAGCTCTGGAGTCCAATGGTTTACCTCCAGCTTTACTTCAAGGTTGTTGAACATAAGACTTTAGAGATCTGTGAGTTATGTTCTGCACTCTTTTGCAGACCTCTTGGGATTAATCGAACGTCGTTCCCATCGGGCCTTAACCGCGCTGATAGCAAGCTCGTGAGTGATTCGGAAAATGCACCCTATTGGTTGCATGAAGCCTACTTTGACTCTACCAATCTCGGTGAGCTCAAAGCTATTGGCACAACCCATTCTTCACAGGTTGTCCGACAGGCTGAAAGGCGACGGGGCGGTCTGCATCTGGCACCTTTCGTGGAAGATCCTGTCCCATCTTCGCCTTCCGACAGTTGTTACACAACTCCTATATTTTCCAGAGGACAACAATCACTGTATACTTAGACGGTTGAATGCTCTTCAACTATCGATGAACCAGAATTGTTAATTGGCAAACGAAATATCTGTGGAGTATGCAGGTGTCCTCCGAAAGGTAACTTTGGGTTAGAGACAGTGTACAGCTTCCTATAATTGAAGTGTTCTCCCATATCCCTATTTCTTTTCCACTTGGAGATAGTAGATGT